AATCTCTACGTTGTAAAGAGTTGAATTAAAAAGGGTAAAATTAGGTATTCCACGGCGGGAAACCTAAAACGGAGTGCGGCGACTCCTTAACCTAATGCTAGGGTAAATGGTAATTCGGTCTGCGGCGGGGACGCCTATGTAATTAGGGTTTGAGCGGTGAAAAAGTCAAAGGTAAAGGACTATTGACGCGGCTGTCAAATGGCTAGACCTATTCCTTCGGAAGGGATTTAACGGTAACTAAAATAATGAAAATACAATTAAGCGGCAGTATGAAAATACGAGAAAGGTACGAAAACGGTAAAGGAATTGCACAACAACGATATCCTCGCATAAATTACAACCCAAAGAAAATAAAATGCGGAACGTAAGGGAATTGCAAAGCGACAATATCCTCGCGTAAATTACAACCATAAAATGAAATATGAAAAATGAAGTATTATAACAGTACAACTGAGAAAGCAATGAATGGACCCACATAAAAATTATACGAGAATAACCAACAAGGTTCAATGTGAAATTGAAAGCGCAACGTTAGACGGTTTTAGGAAAGAGATTTAAACTAAATGAGGAATTTACAAAAAAGAGTTTGAATTTAAAATGTCAATTTTTAATTTTGCCTAATTTTAATGGATTAATAAAAATCTTATTTTTTCAAAAAAGGTTTTCTCAATTGAGGAATGTTGAATTTTAAATAAATATTCTAATCAACTTTTAAAAAAAGGTTTCTAGTTAAATTTAAGAAAAGGTTTTAAAAAAAGGGTTTTAATTTTAACAAAGGATTTTGATTTTTTTTCTTAAACAAAGGCTTTCATCTTCAAAAAAGGAGTTTTAGTTTAAGAAAGGTTTTAATTTAAAAAAAAAGGTTTTAATTTAACCTAATTAAACTAAATTATAAAATAAAAATAATAAAAAAGGTTTTAACTTTATGAAAGGTTTTATCAACCTAATTAAAGCAAAATATAAAGTTAAAATAAAAATGAATGAATGGTTTTAATAAATCTAATTTCCTTAAACTATAAAAATATAAAATAATACTAATAATAATAATAAAACAATAAAATAAAGAAAAAGAAAAAATAATATAAAAAAATTGAAATAAAAATGGGGGAGGGGGCGGCGCAACTTCTCCATTGTTGTTGTTTTGAAGCTTTTCGTTCATTCCTCCATCATTCTTCCTCTTCCCGGTAGGGTTCTGAAAACACAAAGTAAACTAAAAAAACCTGTTAGTATCAAAATTGTTTACCTTTTTTGCGAGATTTGAAGCGATTTGAGTTGGTTCTTTTTCGCCTTTTTTTCCTTATTTTTCTGCTGATTGAACTTCCCTTTTTCTTCCCCCTTCTGGATTTCCTTTTTTATGATGAACTGATGGTGAGGCTGCTGTTTATATAATACTTGTTTGCTTGGGCCTGGGCATGCTGGTTGTTGCAATTTTCATGGCTGATTTGTTGATTTCTTTGACCTTGTTTTGCTAAAATTTTAGGAAAGTTGTTTCTGCTGGCTTTGACCCCGTTTGGTTGCAAAGATTTTGGAAAAGTTGTTTCTGAACTTGAATATCCATTTTTCTTTGATGGACCTAGATATCCACTTTGGTTCTATGTGTAGCGGTAAAAATTGTGAGTGTAAGTTATTGATTAACTTAACTCAAAGAAAACAAGAGTCGCCACCGCACTTTTATTTTATCCAAAACAGGAAAGGAAAAAGAGCGAACAAAACCAAATAGTTCTAAAATAAGAACAGGAGACAGAGATCGGGGTAAGGGGGTTGGTTACGCAATGGGAAAGTGTTAGCACCCAAAACGTCTATAGTACTCTATAGGAGCCCTTTGAAATATTTACGTTTTTTGGTTTGAAAATGGTTTGTTTGAAAAGAGATTGGGGAGATGAGAAGAGAATTATTTTTTAGATTTTTGTTTGTGTTTGGAGAGACTTATCGCCTCATGCCTACGTACCCACAAAGTGCAATATAGGATCAAAACCCCGTAGTTCGTGGTACAAATGACAAAAATTTGTTGGTTTTGAGTGATTTTAGATGTAAAGACAAGTCGTCATTTTAAGGAGAAAACCGCGACTATTCACCCACGAGTATTAAGACAACATCTGCGTCACATAAAGATGGAGGATTTGCTTGAATTATCAACAAGACTATCACTCAACATCAACGTGGAAAATGTCAAAGTCTTAATAATATGAGGAATAGGAGATTTACATCTCAACTATAGAAATGAATCATGTCTAAACTTTATGAAAAGTTTTAAAGTGAAAAAAAAAGTGCATAAAGGCACAAAAAGAGTTGATGAGTTTTTGTATTTTTTATGTCTTTTGAAATTGGTCAAAGCATGATTAACATTGATTGACTTTTATTAAGAAGAACAAAAGTTTAAAAATCACTTGGCGAAAGTCAAAGTTTTATTGCGAAAGCGGTTTTGAAGTTTGAAACCAAGAAGGTTTTGAAAGAGGGAGAAAGTTTTGAAAATTTAAGAAGGGGAGGAGATGAAGTGACTATCCTAGAAACCAAAATAAGAGTCAGAGGTAAGAAAGATCTAACCGACTTGTAGCACACTCCATAGCAAACAAAAAAGAATTCCATCCGATTTAAAGCATAAGCTAATGAGCGAGTCAAATAAAGGCTAAGATCCACAATACTCCAATCATAGGAATGAGAGCCCTAATTCTAAGTCCAAAGGTCCATGAAGTCCAAGGTCTAAGAGTAGTCCAAGAGCATAACCACAAAGTTAACAACACCAAGTTTTTTTAGAGATTTTTTTATCCTTTATTAGTGTTTTGAACAAGGTATGGTCCAAGTGGACAAAAGAGAAAATGACATAAACATAAACAAAGATATGATATGAAATGATAATATGGAAACATAAAAGTAAGAAATAAGGAGTAAGAAGAGAATATAAACAAAATTAAACAAGGATATTGTTAGTGAATTAGTAATTAGTGGTTAGAACATATGATCAATGATGATTAATTCTTGCACTTAGACCAAGGTTAATGAAAGCTCATTAGAGGATTGATAGAATCAAAGCCTCCTAACAATGATTTTCATAGGTATTGGACTTAAGACAAACAACTAATCATACTTGGACTTTTAAACATCAGTTTGAGCCACGAATGATCATTTTCCGATTAAGGGACACTTTAGCGCTATGTTAAGCAATCGTAATCGGGTTTATGTAGAAACCACGACTATCTGAGGCCGGTCAATAAAATGTTAGTGTTAATACATGTTAGAGAAGTGATATGTAAATCACTCTCCTAAAACATGCCACACAAAAAGAAAAGAGGTAATGATCTCATCACAATCAAGATTTTTCATCAATTAATCAAAGGTAATCTATCACTATTCCAAAGTACGGAGAATTATCTCAATGATTATTCATCCATAGATTTGAAATAATGAAGATTAAACAACCTTGATAATTAACAATCTATGATCCATAGATTTCATCGATCAAAAAGAAGAAGAAAGAAAATTAAAATGAAAAGAAATTTCAATTTGAATCTTAAATCGATTAAATCATCATCAATATCAATCACCTCTCTTGGTGGATAAAATTGACACTCAAAGTCCATTGATATTGATGAGATCTTATCAAAATTCAAGATCCAAAACAAAATCTATTTTAAGAAAATATTTCAAAAGAAAAACAAATGTTAGAAAAAAATATTAAAAGGAAATAAAAAAAAAGAAAGAAAGGGAGGTTCAGTAGAAAAACAGAAGGTAACGAGGATCTAAATTCCACGGCCCAAACCAAATTAGTGCATCAGTTAAAACAAAACAAAAATGAAAATAGAAACTCAATTAACCGATCATCATCTTCTCCAAAATTTCACACGTGGCACTGTGCATTTTTTAAAATAAAAATCTCATCAGAGAAGAGAAAACCGCCGCCGGTCACAAGGAAACCATCTCACCATTGTATCCACAAATTCTTTCTCAATTTCAACAGGTTTTGTATCAAGTTCAATCAAATCTCTGTCAAGCTTTTAGATCGAAAACAAGAAATTCTACCTCGTCAGTTCGAATTGCTAGACGACGAGAAATCTAGGTATCAAATTCTTCACAGTGTTTTCGTCTCCTTCTTACTCTTCCAAATCTGTATTTGATGTCGTTGGGTGAAATTCGCAGAATTGTTGGTGTTGAGGTTGGAGGTTAATTGAAGTTTGAATGGATAAAAGGTGTGTGAATCTTGTAGAATTTTATGGTGGTTCAATAGTTTGATGAACGAAAAACAAAATCAGAGGTGAAGAGGATTGAAGCTTGAAGAAAATTAGAGGTTGGGGTGATATTTCTGCAGAATTTTCTCGGCTGTTCAAGCTTGAGAAAATGAGAATGAAGCACTCTCTATTTATAGAAGAGGTGAGTGATTTCAATTTGAATATTGCTGCTGCCGTTTTGATCTTTGTTTTTTGCGTTTTCATTTGATGCTTTGTGTGAACCGTGCGTGACCCATGTGCATCTTTCACATCATTTTGATTTTTCATTTTTTAGCTCTTGTGTGACGTGGATTTTCTGGTTTATTGATTTCAGCTCAGATTATATAACGTTGATTGGCTTTCATGGCTGACTTACGGTTCGCACGGCTTGGTCTATGTGATGTTTAATCAAATCTTGTTGCCTCATCCCAGCCAAGTTTTTTTCAATTCTACAGCAGCAGTTGAGGCCAGTTCTTTGGCATAAGAAGCTTCTTCAGAGAGTTTTCTGATTCTATACATGCAATCCACTATTCTCTTCTGACAATTGTACTTATTATAGCTTCAAATTTTCATTTTCAATCTCCTGGGACTGTATTTTCCTCACAAAATTATTCCACTCATCATCATAGATAGTATGCAAATAGTACAGGGTTGAAACCTCAACTTCATTCTCAGTATATAAAACTGTATATAATAACTAGCCACCAAAACCTAGTGGAGATAACTTCAAATCTGCTCCTCTCAAAACTTGGTGATGACCAACCAAAAAGACAAAAAGACGTTAGCGGTGTGAATCTCTTAATCTTCAAGCTCGATAATCTTAACAACAGATGCATCACCAACTTTCTGGCAAATAACAACTCTATCATGTGGCTTGATGACTCCTGATGTTTTTCCATGATCAAGTGCTACCTTCAAAATAGACTCATTACTGGCACTTGTTGATTCAGCAGGATGTCGAGGATCAGCAAGCATGGGAAAGAGACCTCTTACAATGAGTGACTGCCTTGCCTCAAAAGCTCCACTAAAGCTCCATTTTAGCTGATTTATCTTAAGCCTGGGTATCACAACGGAGAGAACCGGCATCGTTGGCCTGTACTTTGCTATCAATCTTGCAGCCCTTCCAGATGAAGTAAAGCAAATGATAACAGAAGCCGTCACCTTAATAGCTGCACGTACCGTTGAGGATGCTAATAGTTTCAACTTGATTGCATGGAAGAGGAAACGGATGGTCAATATTGTTGCCAGAATTATGACACCGCATATCTCTATCTCTTTGAAAATCATAATTAGAGGACAATCATCCTGGCTAACTACTTTTTCACATGGAGCAGTAGCAGCGTTTTTCATCATCGACACCGTCATCATCTTTTGCAGCAGTTGAACCCGGGACAATGTATTGCACCAAATTGGCAGGAAGTCTGATGAATGGCCTTTGATATCCAAGACCTTCAAATAAAAGTGAGAGAAATTCTCAGAACTTCATAGGCTCAAGATTCGTGATGAAAAATGCCTTTCCAGCCACAAAAATTGTTTGGAAATTTAAGGCTTCTTCTGCACAGATATGAGCATGAGCAACATTCTCATAAAAGGTGAAGTCTGATCGATTATCACCAGTCCCTATAATAAACTTTGTGAAACCATATCTTGCTAGCTTTAGAAGATACGACACAATTCCTGTGTCACCAGGACCAAAGACATTACTAGGACGAAGTGAGCATGTCAAGACTCCATTAATATCATTAGCATCCAAGATCAAAGCTTCTGCATGAGCCTTAAGGTCAATCAACATGTTATCAACTTTCCACTGATATGCCGACGATTTAACTCTATTACGCAAATCATTAAATACAACATCTGTAGAACTGTTGTATATTAAGCGTTTCACTTTACACTCTCTGCAAGCAGTGATCACATTCTTCGCACCTTGAACTATCAGCTTATAGCAGCTGTAGAAATCATTGTCATAATTGATGCCATCAACATCCATATAAAAAACAACCGAAGAACCTTCAAGAACTTTGGCGACGCGGTGTTTATCGGTAACGTCAAGATAGAAGTACGAGGCGCGAGAAGAAGAGAGAGCATCGGCGAGGAGTGACTTTTCCATTTTGGGAGATGACGATTCGTTGAAGCTATGGCTCGCTGAAGAATCCTTCTCAATTTGTAATGTTGCATTCTCCTTGTAGTTTCGAGCAGGCATCCGCTTGAGAAGTTTTATGGCCTCTTCACATCGAAGAAGCTCTGCGTATAAGCCACCCAGGGTCAATAATTCATCATGAGTACCCATTTCAACAAGTTGACCTTCCTCCATAACTGCTATATAAACAGCGTTCTTTATGAGACTAAGCCTTGAGCAATTATTATTGTCGAGAGCCCCAGCATAAGGAGATCCAGAGCCTCCTGAACAGACCTCTCAGCCTCAATATCAAGTCCCCCAGTAACCTCATCAAGCAAGAGAATGGATGGATTTAGGAGCACTGCTCTTGCAATAGAAAGCTTTATTTTCTGTTCTTCTGTCAAAGTTAAACCAGCCCTGCCAATCTGTGTATCATAACCTTTATCTAGTGAACTGATAAAAGTATGTGCATGAGCTATTTTAGCATCCTCTTCAATTATTCTGCCGTGGTATCCCTCCTATATGCAATGTTGTCTCTTATACTCAAACTGAGCAAAGCAGGTTCCTGTGTTACCATTAACAAGTATTTGATCAAGTCATGGTAAACATTGACATCTTCTTGTTAAAAGAGTTCCAAAATACTGCTTCCTTCAGTTCCTGAGATGCACGAGTTTCCATATTGACAACTCCAGGTCTACCAGATGAATTAGTTCCTTCAAGTACTTCTTTCGAGCATCATCTCTGGCTTCATATCTCTCAATGACACGGGCGTAGGTTGATGCATCATACCCATTCCATCTATCTCGTTTGCCATCATAGTCAAGCTCAAAAGTTTCTACCTTTTCATCAGCAACAATGTGCTTGTTTGATATCCCTGTCTTGAAATAATATTGCCAACAGCAAAGCACAACTCCACATGTTGCTATCTTCTTTATAGTCAATTTGACTGTACTGTGAGGGGAAATTTTCAATCCTGTCAGTGAGAATCTCAATCGCTCCAGCCTCCATTATTGCAATTCTAGCTTTTTCATCATGGCTTAGCAAGAACAAACAGTAACCATATAGCTATATTGGCACCAGATATAATGGTGGTGCTGTTGGTGGATATACCGTCACTGGCATTTTTTGTATGCCTGCATATGCTGATGACTTCCTTCTTGTCATTGTCCTAATTAACCAAAGTAGCCTGCGAAGAAATAAGTATATCAACGAGCGACTGTACAAGATCAGCACACAAGTTTGATAAATTTAGATCCTCCACCAGCCTCTGGTGATTTCTCTAGCAGCACAAATAAGAATTGCAGCTCCCCCAATTTTGACCTTCAGATTTGTAGAACTGGAATTGATTATTCTCTTAGCTATTGAAGATATGCAGTAGCAACAATCTCTCCTAACACAGAAGGCTGATCCTTACATAATCGGGATAATATTTCAATAGCTTTATCCTGCAACACTGGTGTTGAATCAGCAATTGACAGAACTATTGGGCTGATGCTTTTGGGGAATTCTGCCAAAGTCATCCAAGCAGGTTTACTAAGTCCAGCTGTCTCTTTCAACCTGGACAAAGTGGCAAGTGCTTCTAGAGACTCTGTTGTCGCAATAGGTTCATTGGCAGAAGAGTCCAAAAAGGAAACTAACGCAAGAACAGTGCCGGCACGATTCACACAATCAGCAACAGCATTATCAACTTTCTGAGAATGTAAGAGGCGAGTGATAGCTGATGCAGCACGTGTACATTGGCATTTGAATCTGCAGAAAGCTTGCATAAGGCATCAAAGATCTGGTGCGAACCTCTCAGCTAGAATAGCCACTTCAAATGATAATTCTTCATGCATTGCAAACTCCGCCGTGCTGAGATACTACAGTAGTTCTCTCTTTTTCATATCAGCAAATGTTGAGACCAATGTTGCTCCAGTTGCTTTGGCAACATGTCACATATCCTCTTTCCGCACACTTTTTGCAGCAATTGCCATTTCTAGTTACACCCAACAATGTTTGAAAACCATGTAACCAGTTGTATAACTCAACAAGTGAACTTGCTGATTAACATGCGATATTTACAAAGCCAAAATCAGCACCAGCCCTAAAGGATCCCCATGAACTGTTCTGGTAAATCACATCTTGGAGATATGGACATGCATGAGAATTAATGAGCTTAGAATCATCTCTTGTTGAGTTTGATACTTCCAATCTTCCAAATCTTTCACCGTTGAAGCAGACGCATATTCATACCCTCTTCCGGCAATATCATCTTTGGCAGCAGCTGCTAAGTGTTTCAAATGCATGGATGCACTTTCTGCATCAGCAACAGGCTTTTGTTGACCATATTGCAAATAAACTCTCCCACAGGGAGGATCAATACGGTGACCAGGCATTGTTAGTCTTGGCAAGACAGGTATGGCACATTGACCTTCAGTTTGCAACGCATCACGAACTGCTACAAGTAAACTATCACGAGATGTGCTTGCGTAAACATGGATGGGGCATCCATCACTGAATTCAATTGCAAACATCTGGGGTTCTTCAGCAAACCGAACAAGAGCACACACCGAAGATAAAGGACGAACACTAACAGCTTCATAGTTCTCAGGACGCATTTCCACAAGTGAAACCTTTGTAAGTATGAGCTGACGAGATACCGCATCACCGTGATCACCTAGTCCACCTTTTGGGCCAACTCCTAAGCTCAACCCCGGAACATTTAGAGTTCCATGGGCAGCAGAACATAACCGTGTTACAGACCAACCACCCAACGGGGTATCTTCTGCTCCAACTGCTTCTTTTTCCCTTTGTTTTATATACTCAGAAACAGAAAGAGTTTGCGATCTTTCCACAGACAAGGACAGCCCCACAGTGGATTTTGTAGTTTTTGTCAAATTTGAGATAATAGCTGATGTTGTGCACCCAGAAGTAGCTTGGAAAGCTTTTGACTTCCTATCCAAATCCAAAAGGAAATTTTCCACAAGTTCGATATTAACGCCTTTGGAATGTATCTCGACGAGAGACTTTTGGTAAGAATCAAATGACTGTAAAGCTTTTTGGCCTCTTTCAGTTGAAAGAATTACACGGAGAGTTTATGATGCCATATCAACAATTTTCACTGAGTCATCCATCAGATACTTCATTAGTAATTTCATAAGGACAACTAGAAGTTCTTCAGATATGCACACATCTATGATAAAATGAATACAACTACTTTTGGACCAATGAATTACTTGCACCTGAAGCAACAATCATCTAAACCAAATTCTAACTTTACCCTGATAGATTCAAAGACGAACCACTGAATAATTTGCAACTGAATCATCGGCCATCAATTTTGATTTTTGACATAATTCTCTGAATATCTGGACCAAACTTCTCATAGAACACTGCTTGATAAATCAATGAATTTCAACACAAGACAATTTGATCTTGAAAAATCACATTTCCTGAGAAAATAGCCCACCACCATGGGTAACTTATAGTTGAAGCAAACTCTTGATAGTTTGACCAAGATGAGGTCAAACGTCCATCTGATTTAAACTTGAATGAATGTCTTTGCCATTAATCTCCTTGCAAAACCCTAAACACACAGAGAAGAAGAAGAAACAAACAAATTGAAAAATATTTTTGGTATTTTGGTTAGAGGTTAGTAAACAGAAATAAACATAAAGCAAGTAGAAAACACAAGTGCGCTGAGAGAACTAAAAAGTATGGTCTTGTTTGTGTATGCAAAAATGAAAATGCAATGTGGGATCTTAGGGGTAAAAATTAGGGTATTACAGTTGCCCCTATTTTAGATTCTTCTATCCGGAGATATGAAGATTGACATCTTTGTCTCGACTAGATAGAAGAGACTTAAATATAACAATAAACCCAATTTTTGGCCCTAAGAGACCACAAAATGATATGATTATGCTAATGGTATGCAAACAGAAGACCTTCATGGGGAGAAAATGCCACAGGAGACAAACAAAAAAAACTCGGGAGAAAAAGAAGAAAAGAGACTCCACAAGGGAAAACAAAAGAGTAAGATCCTATTCCGATAAAGGAAAGGAAACGACTCAACGGGAAAAGAGATACCAATTTCCAGTTACTGGGTGAAGATAGTTGATCCAAAGAGAACAGGTAAAATGCTTCTACTGGTTACTGAGTAGAAAATAAGCGTAATAAACCAAAGGGGGTGAGAATATTACCGACTACCAATCAATAGATAGCACAATAAAGGCAATATACTCAAAATGTGAAGAAACATTACCGGATACCC